AAATTAACACACACGAACGCACTCCTCTCATATAATATTTTCCTTTTAACAACTTATAATTTGATATATTTCAAATTAAGTTGAGGGAAATTAATTATTAAACATGGCAAAAATCTCCTTTGTACTTTTCGTTGTCGCCCTTATTGTCTTTCTACATATCTCCGAGGCTCATCGTTCTATAAATTCCAATGAACTACTACTAGAAAACAGCCTGAATGAAGCTAAGGGCTTGATCGAAGAGGACTTGAAGAAAAAAGAAAAAAGCATTAACAAGTTGGAAACCGATGTGAGTATATTAGCCAAATCTGAGATGATGTTGAAGAAACTCGAAGAAGCATACAAAAATGGTAAGAGTATAGAGCCTTTCAGGAAAAATCTCAAGCGATTCCACAAGACGATCGAGGAGGAACCAGAGGAAGTGAAATCCGTATCCATAATTAAATGCATTTTGAAGGATTTGGGATTAAACGGAGGGAGTTGTTAAAACAAGAATAGGGTTTGATGCGTTCAAAGGTGGTTTCAAATTAGCCCATGGACTTTGGCTTCACAAATGATAAATGAGAGGAACAAACCATTTGCCCGTAGCATATAGTTAATTAATTGCATCATTTGAATAATAAGTCAATTCTTATATAATCAAATGAAATGCATTACTTATATTATTGTAATTATCTTTGTGCTAGTATTTTTAGATACTAATTCACACATTGTACTAGTTACAGAATAAGAATATTATTTTCTTATTTTGGCACATAAAAACTAATCTATGAGGTGATTTATTCATCAGCATATATGTATATAATCACGTGCACTTCACCAAATATTTATACTCACATCCGTTGAATATATAATTTTTTTTTTTTTGAAAAAGGGCATAATACGTCGAATATTTGAGAAACCGATCATTCCGCATGCCAATATCTATAGTCCAACAAACTATATAAATTATACAAGTATGCACAAATATATATATTCACACATTTTCACCCAAAAGGAAAAATCACACATCTAGTATTATAATTCATAAAATTAATAACAAGGGTTCCGATTTGGAAATTAAGAAACACATCACCTTTTGTCAACGTACGTAATTGGTAAGAAACATATACAGATATATCACTTATATTCATGTTTTCTCTATGCTGGAACTTTTAAACACTTGGTGAGTGGATCTTTGAGGTCATATGCATGGAGTCATTGGGGAGCCACAAGGATGCTATTATTTTGTAAAATAAAAAAAAAAAAGACTTGTTTCAATAATTGTGATATATAATTAACATAAAAGGATAGACAATGAAACAATATACGTTTCGTCCATGTGAGTCTTTTAAACTAATATTCTAGTATATCTACCCAAATTTATTTAGTAACTTTTCCACGCAAAAGATATATTTTGTAACATGAAATACTACTTAATATGCATGAGATCATGGCAATGGTCTCGTATGACAATTCCGTAAAACAAAAAAAAAGAAGACAAGGATAACTCTCAGCATTCAAAAATTATTGTTAAAAAAAGAAAAATCTTTAACAAAACAATGAAGATTTGTCTCAAATAACGTACACGGAAATCATGTAATGGTACTACTGTAATTACATATTTATGTTCTTGTTTTTTTTTTGGTCAAAAAAAAGTTACATATTTATGTTTTTGTTATTCTCAACACCTTTATGCCTTAAAACCTCACGTTGTGTGCACAATATACATAATCAAATGCTTCCACCACCACCCATATGGGCCGCTGCTTTTGCAGCCCAGCCCAAATCATCTGATATTCATAAAATTAAAATCCCATTAGCAAAGTATTGATTATTGACCACAGTAGTAACAGCTTTAATATTCCTAAAGGGCTCGGGAACATATGTTGAAAGATAAAATATATTCTGTAGGTGTAGGGCTTAAAAACATTTTCTAAATGGCTCAGAATATTCTTCTCACGTAGAAACATTTTCTGCTCAGAATTTTTTTTGAAAAGTTTAGAATTGATTTTGTACGGTTTAAGAATATTTGTTTCAATGATTCAGAATAGTATTGAATTACAATATTGTTACCTGAAAGTTTTCAAAAATAATTTCTCAAAATGCTTGTGTATGTAAATAGATGAGCCATTTTCTGTAGGGTTCAGAAACATTTTTAAATGGCTTAGGGCTCAGAAACATTTTCTGAAAGACTTCTATACAATTTCTGAAAGACTTAAAAACATTTTCCGAAGAATTCAGAATTGCTTTCTTAAAGCTTCAAAACATAAACATTTTCTCAAGAGTTGATAATTGTTTTTTGAATGGTTTAAAAATGATTTTTGAAAGACTCGAAACATTTCAGCTTAATAATATTTTTTTGAAGGGTTCAGAATATTTTTTTTTGAAGGGTTCATAATATTATGAAACAATTACAATATTTTTTCTGAAGGGTTTTAAAAACTCTTCTTGATTTCTCTTTGGAGTTATTTTCTATTATAATATGCTGGTGTTGTATATTAATTTTTATATTGTAAATTATGGTCATCATACATTTAAAACAAATTATATTTATAACTATAGTTAATCATTTTCTGAAAGATTCAAAATTATTTCTTGAAAGGCTCAAAAAAATTTTATGAAGAGTTCAGAAGGTTTTTCTGAATGGCTAATAAATATTTTCTAAAGAGCTGAGAAACATTTTTTGAATGGTTCAGAAATATTTATCTGAAGGGTTCAAAAACATTTTCTAAAAGGCTCAGAAATATTTTATGAATGGTTCAGAATTGATTTCTGACGGTTTGAGAATATTTTTCTGAAGAGTTCAGAGTACTTTTAAATCAACTACAATACTTTTTCTGAAAGGTTAGAAATAAATTCTTATAGATTTTTGTGTACGTGAAAAGATGAGTCGTTTTTCTGTAAGGATTCATAAGCATTTTCCTAAGGGCTCAAAAACATTTTCTGAAATACTCAGAATCATTTTATGAAGGGTTCATAATTGATTTTTGAAAGGTTTAGAAACATTTTTTGAATGATTCATAATTACTTTCTGAAGGGTTTAGAATTACTTTCTAAAATATTTAAAATTGATTTCTGAAGGATTCAAAATTGATTTATGAATGGTTCAGAATATTTTTCTTTAGAATATTTTGAAGCAACTATAATATTTTTTATGAGTTTCAAAAATGAATTCCAAAATGCTTGTGTATATGAAAAAAAAAAAAATTTCTCAAAAAGTTCAGAATTGTTTCATTGATTCTAGCCCTCTATCTCGCTTTATACTTTCTCATAACAATATTTATATACTCATAACAATTTCTGAAGGGTTCATAATTTTTTTTTAAATGATTCAAAAACATTTTGAAAGAATCACAAACATTTTTTAAAAAATTCAGAAACATTTTCTGAAAAGTTCTAAATTGAATTTCTGAAGAGTTCCAACAAAAAAATTAGGTTGCCACTAAAAACATGCATAACCAAAAATAAATAAATTTAAACGTACATATTGTATCATTGATATATGCTATCCTGTAGAAACCCTTCTCCGTTTAAATAATATCTTTTTTTTTATAACACTGAGTAATGAACAAAGTTTGTGGACAAAAAAATGTGAAATACTAAAAACTAGGAAAATGAGATGTCAGTAGACACCATCATAACAACAAAAGAAAAGAGACGCAGGATATACCAACACCCTTACTCATTTAGCCTCCAAAACTAGAAGGTGAAATAGCCACGATGGAGCATTCCGAGCGATGTACGACTGGTGGCGCCTATCTCGAGTGACGCTGAAAGCAATGGCCGTTGCCGCTTCATTACGCTCCGGAAGAGTATGATCGAGACTCCATGAATCTATTCCTGATAGAAGCCAGAGAATGCTGTGACGAATGTTGCTGAGGCTAAGGTGTGCAGTTGGATTTGTCATAGCGTCATGTAAGCACTCCGATGAAGTCTCGAAAATAATGTTTGAGAAGTGTAGATTGTGCAAACATTCCACTGCCCAAAAAAGAGCCCACAGGTCAGCTTCGATCTTTGTGCACATGTAAGAATAAGCCCGACGGCTATGCATGAGCGTGCCTCCGTTTTCGTCGCGAAGAATCCATGATGCACCACTCTGTTGATTTGAGTCAATCCATGAAGATCCCACATTACATTTTAGGGATCCATTAGGGGGTTTCCTCCATCGAACCTTATCTATGACCATATCATCCACTTGGTTTGTCGATCCCGTGAAGGAATCGTACCATGTTAGTTCATCTTCATATGCCCTCCTAGCAATAAAAGACGAATCTAAAACTTTATTCTTAAAAAACAAAAGAGTTCCGAGGTTTCCATATTTCCTATAGCAACCATGGCAAAACTTTTTGTGTATGGATATCCAAAGAAGCGCTCCTTGCAATTTTGAGTAAATGGACAAAATTTAAGAATGTAGAATTCCTAGAGAAACCTCCTAAAGGAACTTGGACATTAGCTTGATCCCATATCTCACGTGCTTTAACACATATGAGTAAAACATGACAGATAGTCTCATCCTCATTTCCACAAACTGGACAGGTTGGATCGATCGGAATATCCCGAGTAGTCAAACGTTGCTTAACCGCTAACGCACCTGATAACGCCCGCCACATAAAATGCTTTATTTTTGGTGGAGCTTTTGTTTTCCATAAATCCCGCCATAATTTCTTTTCAATAGGGGCGAGTGATTGCCTGTGAGGGTGATCGTAATCCACCAAAACCTCTAACAATTTATAACCACTTCGCGTCGTATATGCACCATTTGGTGTAAAACTCCATCTGATAGAGTCGTCACCTACCAATGATGGTTTTAAAAGTAGTATTCTTTCCGTATCCTGAGGCGTAAAAGTCTGCTGTAGCAGATTAACGTCCCATTGATTAGACTAATATAGGCAGATACTTTAAAATTTGTGTCTACAATTTCGGATAGGCAGATACTTTAAAATTTAATATGGTTTAAATTTAATAGGCAGATACTTTAATATGGTTTTAATATCTACACAACCAATATAGGCAGATACTTTAAAATTTGTGTCTACAATTTCGGATATAACATACAGGAAAATTATGTCTACAATTTCGGATATAACATACAGGAAAATTCTGTTATATTATATATTTATGTTCTTGTTTTTTTGAACAACATCTTTACGGCTTAACATCTCATATTGTGATTATACATAAATACACAATCAACTGCTTCCACCACCACCCATATGGGCCGCTGCTTTTGGAGCCCGGCCCAAGGCATCTGAGAACCATAAAGCCCCATTAGCAAAGTATCGACTGTTCACCACAGTAGTAGCGGCAGCAGCAGCCACTTTCCCTGTAATGGTGGCTGCAGCCACAGCAGCAGTGCCTGTGACAAGAACCGCTGATTTTGTGAAATCAGAGAAGTGATACTTGTCGTCTGCCGATCTCACGACTTCCATACTCGACTGAATGTTCTGTGTTAGGCCAACGTAACGACCGATCTCTGCCAATTTGTTCGTTACCAAGCTTGAGAATCCCTGAGACTCATCCAAAGCTTTGGCTTTACCAATCACATCTTTGCTTAGGACGTAGCCCTTAGATATCATTGTCTTTACGACTTGTTGAGCAATGGTTACTGCTTCTCCAGGCGATGAAGCAAATGCGTCCGCGCGACTTTGAGTCACCTTTATAGTCAAGAAACAGTTTTAAGTCTTCAACAAACATGAAACCAAATGTAATCAAAGCTGGTTATGTTTTATTTACCGTTACAGTGTAATCTCCTTCTCGTGTGCGATTATTAGATTCGTGTAGATAGACACCGTACATTGATATCCACACGGTTTGATCAACGATCGTAGCTCCCTGAAAACAACGTTGAAATCAATGCTCCGAGAGGGTCATTTTTTCAAATGGGAATATTCAGGAAAGGACTTACGGTAAGTAACAAGGCCATATCCAGAGCATACGCATCTCTGAAAGTTACATAGGCCGTTAAGGCATCATCCCCTGGGCATCTGGAGTCCATGCAGAGACATTAAAACAAGTATCCAAGAAACTAGTGTTATATAGAGATAAAGACGTGTCAATTACCCAGTGATCTCTACGAGCTGGACGATTCCGCAATGAGAGAAGAAACTATGAACATCTTTTTCAGTGGCACGAGGAGACAAGTTTGTGACTTCAGCAACGTAACCACATGGATACATTTTCTAACACAAACCCCAGATACCTTTAGTAATAAGATCCTTGAATCAGATTCAATTATTTATACGGCTATAATACTAAAACAAAACCGTAAAACGTTAATCAGAATAATCGACGCACGAATAATTTGATATTAATGGTGGGTGATGACCCTTTTAGCTTAAACAGGTAAAGATAAATAGATAGATAGAGGGGTGATGACCCTTTAGCTTACCCTGAATTTTAATTTTAAGGTATAGATAGATCAGGAAAGTGTCAAGCAAATCAACCGAAAGAGACGGAGATGATGAAAGAACACAGAATTAGTGTGAAGAGAGAGAGAGAGAGTTAGGTTTATCTTTTTCTGTTTTGTCGGCTCGATATTGATATTGTGGTCGAGATCTTCTCACGCGCTGTTTCCGTCACCAACTACAAAAGTCACTAGGGGAAATCTATGCGTGAACAGCACGCTCATATCTTCCGGGTGTTAGTATTTACAAGTGTTACATGCTTTTAATATACTGTTGTTGGGCCTAATGGGTGCCTCGGCTATCTATATTTGATTTAATGGGCTTTTGAGAGCCTTAAAAATATAATTATTAATTACTGTCAAATCTTCTCTTCTTCAAATAGAAATCTCTAAAACTATGAATGGTGACCAAAGGAACGAGGAGGAACAATATATTCTTTAATATTCCTAAAAAAAATTACCATTCATAAGGAATAACTTTTCCTTTCTATTCCTCATCATTCCTTTTATTGTAGAGATTTATTGAACAAATTTGTTCCTTATTAAACTTGATATGGAATAACTATTCTTTTTAATTTCCATAATTTTATTCCCATATATTCTTTTTTTATTTGTTCTTAATGTTCTTGTGATGGTTACCAGTTAGAGCCTAAAACTGGACTCATATCCTTCTAACCTCGTAGACAATACACTCCCTACATATTGTGATATTAATTTTTTTTTATATTTTGATTGAAAATTATGATAATTAATAAAAAAAATAGACAATATGATAAGATAATTTAAAAAGCAAAAAATTTGACAATATGGTTTTCTAACTTAAATGTCCGAACCATAAAAGAAAAAAACAATCACACTTCTTTTCTTTTTGTTTAAACAATCACACTTTTACCTGAAACATTACAGACTGCTGAGACAAAAACATAGAAACACTCCCAGTTTGGTCTTTAGACGACATCAATATCACATTATGTATCAGATCAACCATAGCAAGGAGGATGGCTAGAAGGAAGAGCATACACGTGAGATGATTCGCCATATAATCGAAAGAAGGCGTAGCAGCAACAAGGCTCTCTATATGGGCTTTATGTATACATTGGTTAGGCCCACTTATAGCCCAATTGTTGTCTTTCTGACAAGCCAGACACAAAGACAAAGGGACACACTGTTCTGTCATTACCATTCCTCGCGAATCTGAGATTTCGGAAAATTCGATCGATTTGGGGGTTTAGGGTTTTTCTCTGCTAAGAATCTGATCAATGGCGCCGCCTCCAGGTCTTTACTCTGGTACCAGCACTCTTGCTCTGGTAACAATCCCTCTCTCTCTCGATCTGTATCTTTGACTCGTAGTTGTAGAGTTTTGAGTTTCTTCACCGTCTTTTTGTATGGATCAGGTGGCTCGTGCTTCGGCTTTCGGGCTGGGTCTCATCTACGGGAACGTGAAGCTCAAGGCTTTGAAGGTAAAATGGAAGATTCTTGCTCTTGAATATATTGAATCATATATAATAGCTTTGACTTTTACTCTGAAAGTTTTGATTTTTCTTCATTGCATAGTTATCTAATTAGAAACCTTAATTTTGTCCAATGATTAAGCTGAGTTCTGCTTCTCATGTTCCATTGATTGATCATACTCTACTCCATGTTTAGTATCATTGTTCTTATGGATTGAACTTCGTTTATTACTGCAAATGCAATGTAACTAGTTAGCTTTTCGAAGCATAAGTTAATGAGGGTATGTCTGGTAAACTCTGGTTTCAAAATCCTTATTAAGAAGATAGTGAAGTGCATTCCATTGTTTAGAGAGCAATAAATTCTCCCTTTTTCTTATTTTTATCTTTAGACATTTGATATTTTAGCCTACAAGATTTCTTGTGTTCATAGTTGTATCTCTTACTATGATGTAATTTTTCCTGAGTGGTATTAACCAAATCCTTTTATCATATATGTAGATAAAGAAGAATTCACAGATTAAAGCAGAAGCCAAGGCTCATCACTAAACACCAATCATCTTTTACTCTCCATTCAAAATAAGAAGATGACTCTCCTCTTCAAATGTTAGTTGTTGAGTCGTAAGCTATTTCTCGCTCAGCCTCAGTGACATTTTTTTTCTTCCAGTTTTTCTTTATCGTTGACGAAGAAGAACAAAACATTTTGTCTGAAAACAATCATAATACCATTTGGTTATGAACTCGAGTTCCTCTTGGTGCTTTGCTATTTCAAGAAACACAATCCTCTTTTTCGTTTACATAACATATTGTGCTTTCCTACTAGTTAATAACCGAGGCATTCATCACTTCGTTTTCTTTAGATGATCGTCATTCATGTCTTGTTACGTTATGGATTTGGACATGACTAATACATCCTCCGATTTTGCGACTCCATACTTTAAAAACTTTATAAAAAAATACATCATTTGTTCAAAAAAAAAAATACATCATATCTAGTCATTTGCATGATATGTGTCGTTTTCATTCTCTCTATCTCAAGTCTCTGGAACTAAAATCATAAATAAGAAAGAAAAAGCAAAGTGGATTAAGAGAGCACTTGATCAAACTTTTGGAGAAAAGGAAACGAAAAGAATACGACCACTTGATTAAATGGAAATAGTAAACATGATGGACAATTAAACTTTTATGAGCATATTGTTCACCCCAGATCATGGTTGGATAATTTTAAAATCAAACTGTGTCAAATGTTATTGTTTTTCCTTTCGAATTAGTGCAATCGTAATTGCTAGTCTTATTCCGCAGAGTACCAATCTTGTAGCATAAGCGTGGTTTATATACTTGTGTCTTTTGCTCACCTAAATCAAAATTTGACACAAAGACCAAATAATACACGGAGACTATTATCATATGCTCAACAATCAACACTATAGGCTATAGTGGACGCAGTAGTGTTGATAACTTAAAGAATGATTTTGTATATTAATCTTATTTTTCTGCTGATATCTTTGATTAGTAAACTTCTAAATTGTTTTGCGTTTCAGCAACTTGTTCACTTTATACTTTATATTGTCGGTGCCGTTGGCCCATTGCTAAACATAATACAATCAGAAACAATCTATTAGAGAAATCTTGGTCATTTTCGTTTCACGATTTAATTACTGGTATATCTTTGAACCTTTCAAGTCAGATATCATTTGTTTAACTTCCAAAACTGTAAGTATACTGTTTAGACTTGGATTAGTTGCACTTTTGGGTTAATCTTTAACAAAGAGAGCATATAGTTCATTTGAATACTCCAGTCTTTAAAATGAGGCCATATGTCAAAACAAAAGTATAAGATTTGGTTTTGCCAGCTATTTAGTCAGAGTTAGAATATTCTCCCATATTTAGTTTTAAGTAAAAAATATATTTTACCAACTGTATTTTAGTAATTATTTGTTAGAATTAGAAAGATTTTTTTTTGTTGTTTTTAAATATATTGTATGTTGTCGATTGTAAAAGAAAACAAATAGTTTAAAAAAAATTGTATATAGAAAAATCCTACAATTTTAAGAGCGGTATATTAAAATACTAGTTGCATACTCTCCGCGTAAGCGCGTGGCCGAAATCATTATGTTTGCGTATATTTTTTTCGATTCAGTGGTTTAGTGGATTCTTCTAATGATACCAAATATTAATGAAATGGAAAGAATGTAGTAAGAGTGTAAAGTGAAAATATTGTATATCTAATGTGTTAAATCTTATTTATATACGAAATAAGATTTATAGGAACAGTTATGTTATAATATAGTTTTTAGTGTGTAAAAGTAGGTGTCTATTTTTTTTTTTTGATGTAAATAGTTTTTATATCTTATGTCAAAAATTGATATCATTATATATATATAGTATTTATATTTGTATTAAACGATTTATCAATTTAAAAATAACCTTAATTAAATTAATATTCGTTGTTTATGTTTCATTAGATAGGTTTTTATATATGGATTTTTTTTGTAAGTTTGAGTTTTGTTCATAAATGATGTGGCATTTTTATCTACGGCGTCATCAAGGAATCCATTCGCCAAATTCTAGAGTCGGTGATCAGAAATGTTTTCAATGAAATTATAGTAGTTATTAAAATGTAAGAGAAATTACATATTCATTTAATAAATAAGGAAAAATACTTAAATTTTGTTGTTTATTTTATTTTATTTCACATACAATTTTTTTGAAATTATATTAGGAATGAGTTAAATGTTATTTATATGCGAAGTAAGTTTATAGGAATAGTTAGGCTATAATATAGTTTTTAATGTGTAAAAGTAGGTGTGTTTTTTTGCTGTAAATAGTTTTTATATCGTAGGTCAAAACTTGATATAATTCTATATTTATAGTATTTATATTTGTATTAAACGATTTATCAATTTGAAATAACCTTAATTAAGTTAACATTCGTTGTTTAAGTTTCATTAGATAGATTTTTATATATGTTTTTTTGTAAGTTTGAGTTTTGTTCATAAATGATGTGGCATTTTTATTTACGGTGTCATCGACTGTGGGAATCCATTCGCCGGAGTCTGAAATCGGTGGTGAGGAATGTTTTCAATGAAATTATAGTAGTTATTAAAATGTAAGAGAAATTACATATTCATTAAATAAATAAGGAAAATAATTAATTTTTGTTGTTTTTTTTTATTTTATCTCACATACAATTTTTTTGAAAATATATATTAGGAAATATGTGCAATGATTTCACTTTTTGAGCTCTTAATCTATATTACTCAAGCCTCATTAAGCCATCCACGTAGGTACCCGCGTGGGATTCTTTTTTTTTTTTGTCCGTTCATTTTTGGATTCATTTTTATTATTTTTGGGTTGAAATATATTATAATAGGATAATTTTAAGTCCCTTTAAGCCATCCGCATAGGCAACCGCGTGAGACTTACTTTTTTTTGTTTTTTTTATTGTTCGTTTTTACATCTATTTTTAACTATTTTTAGTTTGAACTCATTAAGTTTTAGGTTTATCCAACTATTTTGATTTTTAAAACAATAAGTCATTAAAAAAACATAAAACCCTATAAACAAAAAGTCCATATGATAATAACCCAAATAAAAAATCAAAAATAAATGATGGTTACGTGGTTTGAACCCACGATCTTGTATGATTAATTAGACACCTTATACCACTTGGCTAAAGTGTATTTCATTGTTTGTAATCTTCTTATCAAGACTATAATTTTTTAAAAAATACCTATGGAACCCACAAAACTGCTGACATAGCGCATTGTGAAGCATAGAAAGTGTACTATTATAATATAGATTTATCTTGTAAATAAAGAATCTTCATTAGCATTTCAATATCAGATTCTATATGTTGACCCAATTTTTAGCATTATGCATATATAACGATTTAATCATTCACAATTCATTCTCAAATTCAATAAAAAAATGTTTTTACACTAATTATCTTCTGTAAAAGAAACATCAAATGGATAAACACCTGAAACTAAAAACGTGTTCTGTTTTTTTAGCAAAATTAGAAATAATAAAAATATATAAGAACTAAAACCGTAGTTTAATTCGGATTTCGATTGCTAGTTAAAAAAAAAAAAGGATTTTTTTTTGGATTTCGATTGTTAAGTGACGGAAACACAAAACGACAAGCAGTTTTGGCTCCTTAAAATCCCCCCCACATTGAGAAAGCCCTCACGCTTCGTAACCAAACCCCATAGAGAGAGAAGAACAGAGAGAGAGAAAATGGCCGTCTCGTCTACGATATTTTCCTCCGCCTCAATCCCCACCTTCCAATGCCGTTCTGATCCAGATCTCGTCGGCTCCCCAATCGGAGGCTCATCATCATCATCATCCCGCCGCCATTTCAACGCCACCGCCGGAATCACATCGCCATTCACCGGCGACGGTCGCATATCCTCGATGATCCTACGCTTCCCTCCCAATTTCGTCCGTCAGCTGAGCATCAAAGCCCGCAGAAACTGCAGCAACATCGGCGTCGCGCAGATCGTGGCTGCTAAGTGGTCCAACGACCACGCCTCCGGTTTACCACCGGCGGCGGCGGCTGCAGCAGCTTCGTCTGCTTCCGCCGCCGCCGCCTCGGCCCCTGCGGCTGCCTCCTTTCCTCCCGTCGTTGACGTTGACGAGGAGGTTGTGGCGGCCGAGGGGGTTAGGGAGATAGGTAGTGTACAGTTGAAGGATTCAGAATCCTCATTTTTGAGCTCTGATGGGAGCTTGGCTGTTCATGCTGGTATAGATCCATGTTTTGTTATTTTGCTAATAATAAATCATTTAATTGGAGATATATTTAGTTAATGATGATTCTGTTACGATAGGTGAAAGATTAGGTCGTGGTATCGATCCATGTTTTTATTTTGCCAATAATCATTTAATTGGAGATATATTGAGTTTATGATGTTGATGATTAGGTGAAAGATTAGGTCGTGGTATAGTTACGGATGCTATCACTACTCCTGTGGTCAATACATCTGCCTACCACTTCAAGACTACTGATGAGCTTCTTGACTTCAAGGTGTCTTTACATCTTAATAATTGATTTTGATGTCTCCTTGAAAATAATAACTTAATTGTAAGAATCTGTTGACAAGATTATTGAATTTATTTATTCAACTATTGAAGGAGAAACGGAGTGTCAGTTTCGAGTATGGTCGTTATGGAAACCCTACGACTATCGTTCTTGAGGAGAAGATAAGGTTTTTATATTGTCACTTGGATTTATTTATATATATTTTTCTTTTTCTCGTGAGGATAATGATCTTTAATGCTTGCTTTTGATTTGTTTGATTAATGTATTGTGTAGTGCACTTGAAGGTGCTGAATCAACCTTGGTTATGGCTTCTGGGATGTGTGCAAGCACTGTTATGCTTTTGGCTTTGGTTCCTGCTGGTGGACACATTGTTACTACTACTGATTGTTACCGGAAGACTAGAATTTTTATGGAGAATTTTCTTCCCAAGATGGGGATCACTGTAAGCACCCTCTGAAAGTCTGAAACCAATTCCTTTTTAACTAATTCCAGTTTCGTTGATTACTGAAAAAATGCAACTCACGGAGATTCAGATTCAGCTTGAATGATTAACATCATGTTTATGTCCAGGTTACTGTGATTGATCCTGCTGATATTGCTGGTCTTGAAGCTGCTGTGAATAACTACCAAGTCAGTTTTGTTACATATTATGCATTCATATTCTTTCTTAAGATTTGGATAAAGAGTGTATGTCTGATAGCTTCATTCTACTGGTGAACAGGTTTCTCTTTTCTTCACTGAGTCTCCAACAAACCCATTCCTTAGATGTGTCGACATTGAGCTAGTTTCAGAGATATGCCACAAAAGGGGAACTCTTGTTTGCATTGATGGCACCTTTGCAACACCACTGAATCAGAAAGCACTTGCTCTTGGTGCTGATCTTGTCGTCCACTCTCTTACAAAGTACATCGGAGGACACAACGATGTAAGTACAAAATGTTGCAAGTACTGTTAAACATTTTAAAAGGCGCTATTCTTGACAAAGACTGTTTCTTTCCTTGCCTTAGGTTCTTGGAGGATGCATCTGTGGCCCACTGAAGGTGGTTTCTGAAATTCGCAATCTGCATCATGTGTTGGGAGGCACACTTAACCCGGTAAAACACCTGAGACCGTCTCATGAATGCCTCTTACTTATGCTATTGATTTCATGAATCTAATGAAGATCGTGTGTTAAACAGAACGCTGCGTACCTAATCATCCGAGGCATGAAGACAATACATCTTCGTGTAAAGCAACAGAATTCAACTGCCTCAAGGATGGCCGAAATTTTAGAGGCACATCCTAAGGTATGGAATATGTTTTTTCTGTGTACTTAGTTTTTGAGTAAATTTCTTTGAACGACACTTCCTAAATCAATGCGTTTTGACTTTGCAGGTGAGTCATGTATACTATCCAGGCCTTGCAAGTCACCCAGAGCATCACATTGCCAAGCGCCAGATGACTGGTTTTGGAGGTGTGGTCAGTTTCGAGGTAACGATCTATCAATCGCTCTCTAATCAAGACTTAGCTTTTTTAACCAATAGTAGAATGATCCTTGAAATGGAACGGTGATATATCTTTTTGTCTTGCTAGATTGATGGAGACATTGAAGCTACGATAAGGTTTGTGGATTCTCTCAAGATCCCTTACATCGCACCATCTTTTGGTGGCTGCGAAAGCATCGTGGACCAACCAGCCATCATGTCTTACTGGTATGTATGCCTAGACAACATCGATCATCTTTTTAATTTCGTGGTTTTACTAATTTAACTTGGGTGGTGGATTTATTTGACAGGGATCTGACACAGGAGGAGAGGCTAAAGTATGGAATAAAAGACAACTTGGTTCGTTTCAGCTTTGGAGTTGAAGACTTTGAAGATGTCAAAGCTGATGTTCTTCAAGCTCTCGAAGCCATCTGAAATTCCAAATATTTCACCCTTAAAAACGAAGTGATCCTTTGTCTTCTCTGTTTCCTTGTTTTTTTTTTACCTCTCCCTGTTTCGTCACTGACAGTAATAAGTCTTTGAACTGTTGCTCCGCTACGTTTACAGTTTCGTAATAATCGTAAAACTATTTATTTTTGTTGGGCTTAAACACTGTACCATTGTTCCGTTTGTTAGTGGACAAGGTCTCCCACCTTATTGAACTTAGACGTATTTGGAGGCTGAATTAGCGACCGATGTGACCATAGCTTTGTGGTCGGACACTTTATGTTCGAAACCATAAAGGCTTGGGTTCGAATATTGGTCATCACTACCTACTCCCTCCGTTTCATCGAATTACATTATTTGAATCAACATTAAAGGCATTCTCAAATGCCTTTTGTCTTTTTTTTACCTTTTACATATAGTGCGTGCTCTTAGTTTTCAACTTCTTAGTTAATGGACCATTTTATAGGCCCATTAGTAAAGAGAAGGTAACGTTAATAGTAGTTGCACTGATCTTAAGTAATGGACCATTTTTAACTTATTACATCAGCTCAAAGTAAATCCATGTGCTGTCCAGCCAGCGAGTAATCAAACCGGAGCTTCGGACCCTCCCAGTAGTTGCACTTATCAAATTATCCGATACTACTTCCTTTTCTGAATCCCGATGCAGTCTGGGTCAAAAGTAACAAATGGACAACTCCAGAAATTGCTTACTGTGAAAGTATCGATCTCTCTACTCGCCGCTCACAATGCTAATGATCTCTCTTTGTATACGCAGGTTCGCGACTCCGTTGATACAAAGATAATCCTAACACTACGAATCAAGTAACAATGCAAGAACACAAGAGAAATTTTAGAGTTCCCTGTCAAAGACGAGGTACATCTCCTTCAGGATCGGAACCTGGTAATTCACNACTTTTTTATTTTCAGGATGATAACGGAGAAGATAAGGTAGAGGTTGTTATAACAGAACAATCCCCTGTATCGCACCACACCGCGTAGAGTAGACCTTGGGTCACTCATTAAACCCCGCAGCCCAATAAGCTTCTCATGTCTTCCGTATTGGGCCAACCCAGCCCAACAGACATTCAGTGTTGAGCTCCACTTCTCACAATCTCCACCTTGGAGACAACACTCAATGTCTTTCGTCGGAGACTTCCGTTACGGATTCATCATCCGACTCAACACCTCTGTGTCTTATCACCAACCTGTGACTCGACTTCCGATCCTGGTTCTCCGGTTCTTTGTCCTCACTCGAACCACTCCAAACTCCAAATCAACTTCCACTGATTTGCCTTTCATCTCTCTGACTTCCGAGACGACTCATCTAACCAGTCGAATTCTCAGTTCCAAACTCGACTGCAATCTTCTATAGTGACTTTAAGCTTCAAGGACGCTCAGCTTAGCCAAGCAACCCTCAAACTTCTCTCCAGGTAAAACTTTAGTAAGCATGTCTGCTGGATTTACCGAAGTGTGTATCTTCTGTAGCTCCACTATCCCATCAGCAATAATGTCCCTGATAAAATTGTACTTTGTAGCTATGTGCTTAGTCTTTTCTCTATAGACGAAGTTTCTTGCTAGATAGATTGCACTTTGAGAGTCACAGTTTACCTCCACTACTCCCTTGTAGAATCTTAACTCTTCACATACTCCTTTTAACCAAATACCTTCTCTCACTGCATCTGACAACGCCATATATTCTGCCTCTGTTGTAGATAGTGCAACCACCTTCTGCAGTGACGATCTCCAGCTCACGGTGTTACCGCCAATGGTAAACACATACCCTGTGATGGACCTGCTCCGATCTCTATCTGTGCCGTAGTCTGAATCACAGTAACCCCTGATCTTGAAATCCTTTCTCTTCTTGAAAGTTAAGTTTATCTTTAATGCACCTTTGATGTATTTCATGATCCACTTGACTGCTAACCAATGATCTCTACCAGGTTGGCTCATGTATCTACACACTAATCCAACCGCATATGCAAGATCAGGCCTCGAACCCACCATGGCGTACATTAAGCTTCCCACTGCGCTAGAGTAAGGTACGTTCTCCATGGCTTTAGCTTCTTCTGTCAACTTCTCCTTTTGAATCGCTTGCAACTTAAATTGAGATCCGAGAGGTGTACTCACCGCTCTGCAGTCCCACATACCAAACGTCTTAATGACTTTGGTAAGGTAGTCATTCTGTGACAGAAGTAGCGTCTCATTTCCTCTGTCTCTGATAATGTCCATACCTAGGATCCTTCTAGCTCCTCCTAGGTCCTTCATCTCAAATTCCTTGCTCAGCTGATCCTTCAGTTCTCTAATCTTTACCATCTCTCTAGATGCTATTAGCATATCGTCCACGTAAAGCAATAGGTATATCATATCCTCCACCTCTGATCCCTTGAAGTAAATGCACGGATCATACTCACTCCTCTTAAATCCTAACTTGATCATGTGAGTATGAAATCGATAATTCCACTCACGAGGTGATTGCTTCAAGCCGTACAGGGACTTCCTTAGCAGACAAACCATGTTTTCCTTCCCTTTCTTTATGTAACCTTCTGGCTGCTCCATGTAGACTCTTTCTTTCAAAACTCCGTGTAGAAATGCTGTCTTGACATCTAGTTGTTCCAACTCTAGACTAAATTGAACAACAGCTGATAGTAGCAGGCGTATAGAAACATGTTTGACTACCGGGGCAAACACTTCGTTATAATCCACTCCTTCTGTTTGTGCATATCCTTTTGCTACCAACCGTCCCTTGTATCTAGGACCCTCCACCCCTGGTATACCCGGTTTTAGCTTGTAGAGCCACCTGCATCCTATAACTTTGCAGTTCTTAGGTCTTTCCGCATAATCCCAAGTGTGATTCTTATCGAGAGAGATCATTTCTTCATCTGACGCTTCCTTCCACAGCTTGTAGTCTTTGCTATTCATAGCTTCCTTGTAGCTTTTAGGTTCTTCTATCTCGATGTCTTCAGCGCTTGCTAGAGCATAGGCCAAGAAATCTGCATCCTCGAACTTTGATGGTGGTCTTATTGTCCTCCTCTGCCTGTCTCGAGCTAGCCAGTATGATCCAATCTCAGGTTCCTCATTTATTTCCTCTGGCCTTCCTAAGTCTGAGGCTTCTTCGGTTTCACTGTCTGTTCCGGTTTCTATTACTTTCAGCTCCTCTTTGGACAATCTTTCTGAGTTTTCTCCACCTGTTTCTGAGCTCTCTCCAACACAGTAGTCTTCTAGGTTTTCTCTGAAAGTGACCTTCTTCTTTAACTTTGGATCTCTCGTGTCTTCTTGGGGTTCCTCCTCTTTATTCAACTCCTTGAATAGCTTTGACTCGTCGAACACTACATCCTTACTCACCACTACCTTCTCGTCATCTAACAGCCATATTCTGTAGCCCTTAACTCCTTGAGCATATCCTAGGAATATCCCCTTAGATGCCCTTGGACTTGTCTTTTCTTTAACCTGATGAACATAGGCTATACACCCAAAACACCTTAGGTGATCATAACTCGGTTTCACACCTGTCCACCTTTCCTCTGGAATCTCAAATGCTATTGATGCGTTTGGGGATCTGTTGATGAGGTAAACAGCCGTTGACGCCGCTTCTGCCCAATAACTTCCATCCAATCCTGTCTCAACCAGCATTGATCTAACCTTGTCCATTATGCTGCGGTTCATTCTTTCAGAAATACCATTTTGCTGCGGCGTGTAAGGACACGTTTTGTGTCTTTTGATTCCTGAGTCTCTGCACAATCTGTCCATTTGGTGATTGCAGAACTCGAGGCCGTTGTCCGTTCTGAGACACCTGATTCTCTTATTGGTTTGATTCTCCACCAGGGCTTTCCAATCTGCAAAACATTGAAACACTTCATCTTTAGTTTTTAAGAAATAAATCCATACTTTTTTAGAATAATCGTCAGTGAAAGTTAGGAAATAGTGAGCCCCTGATAAGCTCGAAACCGTGTTCGGAGATCCCCAAAGATCTGTATGAATGTACTCTAGTATCTCCTTTGAGTAGTGCTTAGCCTTTGGGAACTTCTGTTTGTGAGCCTTTCCCATTGCGCAGCCTTCACAAAATGCTAGCTCCTTTATCTCCTTTGATGACACGTATCCTTTCCTTGCAAGCATTTGCATTGATCGTATATTCATATGTGCCAGTCTTGAATGCCAGATCTTTGTGCTGTCCATTCCTTTTGCTGCTACATTAGCCTCAGCCTTTCTAACTGTTCCTTGGAGATAGTACAGTCCATTAGTGTAGGCTCCTGTGAGAATCTTCTTCTCTCCCTTATAGAAATCAATCTTATGATCCTTTCCAATGTAGTTGCATCCCGCATTCTCAAGTTGACCGTATGAGATGAGGTTTCGTCCCATCTCAGGCATGTACCTCACGTCCTTTAATGTGACTACAGAGCCATCATCATTGTCTATAGTGATTGTTCCCATCCCTTTTACCATGCAAAATGAGTTATTCCCCATCATAACTTTGTTTCCTTGTTTTTCCACAAAGTTTGATAGTAACTCCCTCCTTGGTGTAATGTGAAATGTGCACCCCGAGTCCATAACCCACTCATCTTCTGAGACATAGAGACTTGCCGTTAGAGCAATAGGTCCTGGTAGGTTATGAGCAACATTTGCTGAGTTGTTGTTCTTCACTGGTTGCTGACTCTGCCGTTTCTCTGGACAATCACGTTTCCAGTGAGATTCACTTCCACATATCCAGCAGGCCTTCTCATTCTTTACTGCTGTTTTCCCTCTAGACTTTGACCGGTTTTGATTTCTTCCTTTATTGTGCCACTGCTTGCTAGTCCCTCCGTTGCTGCGGTATGTAGATCTGCCTCTAGCTTCAGTATAGAGGCCTTCTGATGGCTTTCCTTTGTTTATGAGACCCTTCTGCTTTAACTCCACCTCCTTAGAGTAAGCCGATGTCATGACCTCACTCACCGTTAAAGTATCCTTTCCTGTTCCATACTGCAGTGTATGAACCAGAGGTTCATATGCCTGTG